AAAAGTCTCCTCTGGGTTAAATCCTCCCTGATGGGAGGGTGCTGGTACAGCTCATTTAATGCCCTGAATGTGTCTGGAGGCAGCTCCGACCTGGGCTAATCCCAGCATTGAGCTTCTCTCCTCCCAACTCACCATCTGCCTTGTAGAGATGGGTGAAGCAGAGACACGGTGGCCTGGATGGTGGTCTGCACTCAACAGGGTGCTGGTGGGCACCCCATCCCCAACACCCACTCAGAGGGTGGAGGGCACCCAGGGGGTCACACAAGCATCAGGACCAGCCCCATCCCCATCTCCTGAAGGTTTTTCTCCTTCCCCGATGTGTCCAGCCGCCTGTGAGCAAAACAGCAAATCCCAGCTCCTAAGGTCCAGGACTGTGAGGGGACTCCCAGGCATCGGAAGCATGTCACCCCCCCTGAAGCACTGTCACCTCTCCCCGAGATCAAACCTACCCTGCAGCCACCACCAGGCAAGAGGCAGCTCCCAGCCAAGGGCTTGCCCTCCACCGCCAGCAAATCTGCTCCGTCACCTCAGGGCACGCAATGGGCAGATGCTAAATGCCAAGAAAATAAGCATTTTGGCTTCTCTTTATTTATTTGTTTAAATGCAAGGTTAACCTCAGCCCAGGGCGATGGGTTGGCCTCGCCGTGTTTGCCCAGAGGCAAAACTCAGAATCACAGGGACCTCAGAGATCATCGAGTCCAACTCTGTGTTTGCCCGGAGGTAAAACTCATGTCATTTATTCTTCCCACCCGCTGCCCCAGGTAGCTGTGCTGTGCCCCCGACCCGAGGGGGTCCTGCCTTGGCCCCCAGCATGGAGAAAACACAACCATCACCTTCTCCATCCTCCCCCAACCCCACCAAAGCACCACCACCGCCGCTCCCACGGGAGAAAACCTCTGCTTGACAAAGAGGATTCCCCCCTCTTCCCCATTTGCAAATGTTTTTAAATCTGTTTTCAGTGCCTTCCTGAAGAAAGTCACTTAAAGGTTCAGTTCATATATAAAGGATTTACTTAGATTAAGGGCCCCAGCAGAAGGCCTTTGAACACGCTCACTCCTTCCCCTTTTCAGATGGTTTCGCTGCGCGCACATTAAAAATGCATGCAGGCAGCATGAGCCAATATTCCTTAACCTCCTGCTTTGCTTGCAAAACTCTGCTTCCAGGAAAAACACATATCTCGGGGAGATGAAAAAACACATGCCCCCTCCGCTCCCAGCTCCCATTCAGCCAGGGGAGCTTGGAGTTTGCTCATACAGGGTGGATACAGCTGGATCCCAGAGACCTTGGGACCATCATGGGCAACGGAGAACTGCCAGGGCTGCAGCAGGAGAGGTTTAAGGAAGAAGAAAAAAACCTTTAAGAAAAAAAAAATAATCCTGGTTTATAAGGACCTGCAACAAGAACTCCTGTTGTCCTGCAGAAAGCTGAGTTTGCTCACGAAAATTTGGAAAGGGAATGAAAATTGGTGCTCCAGAGCACAGGAGAAGGTTTGCATGGTATCTCCCGTCCGACCACGCTGCTCCTGTCATCTGTCATGCAGGATCTGTCATTTGTCCTGTCATGCAAGATCCTCTCATCTCGCTTGGAAGAATTTAGTGCCAAGCGCCGTGAGAAATGGGGTAATGGACCTAACGGGCCGTGAGTCAGGTCTGCAGTGGAAACTCCTGGTGTCCTGGCTGTAAAATAAAGGCTCCTTGTTCAGAGACAGCCAGGGACGGGCAAGGACACGGTGGGAACTCCTCACCAAGACTGCTGACAGCCCCCCGGACAGAGGGAGGAGAGGATGAGAAACAACAACAATTAGAAAAAATCCCTTCTCCTCTGCCACCGGGCAACGCTACACAATGAGGGTCTTTGCTGGGTGCCCACCTACAGCCCTGGAAAACCACAAACGGGTGACAACCCCCAGAAAAGGGGGGTTTCCCCAACCAGCCAGATGAACAATGGCATTTCTCACCTCCCCACTCCCGAGGGGAAATCAGAACATACAGAACTAAGGGTTTGCCCAGGGCCACGTAGGAAGACAAGATCCCAACGTAGTTTTGTGCATCCGCTTTCCCTTCAGTGCATGTCTTTATCCACAAAAGCATCTTGTCCTCAGGACTATGGTTTAGTGGTTTTTTTATTGCTTATTTCTCATTTATTTTTTTTGTCAGAGTTAGGTTGGTGGTTGGACTAGATGATCATTAAGGTCCCTTCCAACCTAGACGATTCTATGATTCCATCTTTCCTCTGAAAGCCTTAAAGAGAGAAAATGTACCTTTTTCTAGGAGGGACCTCACATCATCAAGGGGGTTGTTATGCACAGACGCTACCCAAAAAATAACCCAGTGTGATGGCTGTGGTCCTTGCAACTACAGGTGGCTTCTTCTGGTGGGGGGGGAAACATGGCCTGGGCTGTTTGCACAGCCTCCTGCAAGAGAGAAACCTATTTTGGGGATCACTAGAGACCATCACCTGCAGGGAGGGAAGTCGGCGACGCACCGTGCTGGAGGGTGATGCTGTTTTCTGCAGGACTCGTGAAACCTACAGCCAGGACTAGGAGGAGGAAAGACACAGCACGGGCTGTAGCTACAGCTGCAAGAGATTACACCCAGCCTTAGCAAACAAAACATTGCATTCAACATCTCTTTTTCTTCTTGTTTTTTTTTTTTTTTCTGCCATGTTTTGCTGCTTGTAGCTTGTCTCTTTGGAAGAAACACTCTGTCATCTCAGCAGAGCCATCCTGATAGCTATCTGATTTACTCCGCGAAACAGGCCTTCTCTGGCAAGGTTCATGCAGCCAGAAATTATTAGACAGAAAGGCTATTATTTTTTTCACTGAACAGCATACAAGATTGATTTTTATTTTTCTACTCTACATGCCATGAAACTTATTTAAGGACAAGTAATAGGCTTGGGGATTTATTTCACTCTTAATTTGCGTGATCCTAATTCTTCGACCCCAAAATAGGGATTGGAGCAGAGCCACACTCATGTCTATAGGGCTGAAGACCACACAATCCATAGATCATCCTAATTCTGTATTTAGCATGGTTTTGAGCGCCGTGCCTAAGCCAACAAGACTCTTCCCATTTATTTCAACAGCAGCATCTTCACTGGGGGAGGGACCCCAACCTCAGGGAGCTGAGGGGCAGCGGTGGCTGAGGTCCCTTTGGGGAGCCAGAGCTGCTGCTGGTTCTCACAGATTAAATTAATTCATCTGAGATTAGTTTCTGTCATTGGGGCTTTTGTGATGGTGTAGCAAGAAATCATCTAATTAAAAGGAAAAAAAAACACAACCAAACGTGGAGCAATGGACAAAGCAAGGGCTCTCTGATTGCAGGGGACAGCGGTGATGGGAGGGGACACCCCCGGGGAGGTATTTTCCAGCCAACAGAGTGACAGCATTTTCTGCTCTTACAGAGCTGGCAACGGGGAGGAGGAGCAGGGTTAATGCGCAGGAAAACAGAGTTAGAAGCAAAGACCCACTAAGCTCTGTGCTATTCTTGTGTAATTATGGTGCCAAAGGCTTCCAAGATAAGGGATTTTAGCAGGAACCATAAATGCTGGTTGTAAAACGAAGGAGAAAAAGCCACATATCCACAGGAATAGCAAAGCCTCCCTGCCCCTGGATGCCAGCTATTGCCCATCCCTGGATGCTGGAGACCTCAACAGAAACACCAGTGATTCAGCCAAAGCCTTCCCAGCTCATCCACCCTCTGAAGGGCCACCAGGACCTCCCCAAATCCTTGGGAAAGGTTTTGCCAAAGGTGACACATTGCAATGTCCTCCAGCCATGCCCCCAGACTTAAACCCAGCCCTTGCACTTCTCCCTGCCTCCAAACGCCTTTGATGCTCTTTTCCCTTAAAATAATAATCACTGCAGGCTTCTCCAGGAGTCAGGGCTATCCTTAATAATAAATAGACCCCAGCTTACATGTCTTTATTCCTCAATGTGCTTCATAAACCTCCACCCCCCGAATCTCCCCCCACTCAAGTCCTGGAGGGATCTGTCAGGTTCCTCTTTAACAGATGGGAAGGCTCCGAGTTTGCTCCCCTCCAGCAATATTTAATTCAGTTAAGGCAGCAAAAATAAGTTCAAACAGTGCAAATGGTGGCACGGGGTGGTGGGCACGGGCAGTAGGGCTAAAACTGAGGCAGGGACCCCATCCAGCCCGTGCCCCCACCCCCTGGGATGCAGCCACAGACCAATGCTGTGCTACACCCTGACCAGAGCATCAGCAGGACACACTCTGCAGAGAAAAGCCAATGTGTTTTATAGCTGGGGAAAAAAAAACACAACCCAAAAAACCACTCCAAAATGAAGGAAAGGTCCTTTAAGCTGAGAACTCTTCCCAGTTTTATCTATTGTCCTAATGAGATGCTGTTGCCAGATTAATAATAAAAACTCACACTAACAAGAAAACCAATTGCAAACCAATTTTACAGGGAGCTGAACAAAGACCGGGATAACAGCTCTGCTTAATAGGGCTGTCTGCTGGTTTTAATTCCTTCTCCATGGCTCCTTCAATTAGCAGCAGAGGAGGAGCTTCAGCAGCAGGGCAGCCCACCCTGGGTGCCAGGGCCAGGTTAATTATTAGCCCCCATTACCCACTCAGCACTAATGGGCCTTTGTCAAAACCAGGAAGAAATTTCCCAGCTGTTGGTGACTAAAGGCCACCTGGGCCCTTCTGCAGGGCTGGGGACAGGGTGGTGACACCACAGATCCTGGTCCTCAGCTCCCAGCCCCTGCAAGAGACACTACAACCCACCCTGCCACCCTCCCCAGCAGATATTCTGCACACAACTCATTACATCTTCATGTATTTATTTGTAAAATATTCCTGAGCAGCCCTTAAGGTGCTTTTCCAAGTACCCTGCATCCTCGATGTCTGTTTAACCCTAATATATCCCAACCATATTAACGCTTCTAGAGAGTCTGACGTGTTTAAACACCAGGAATATGGACAGGGAGGGAAAGAAACATTATTTAAAGCATCGTATTGAAAGGATCTTACCTAATTCCTTTGGTTTGAGCAATACTGTGGAAGGAGAGTCTGGATACTGCGGAGATCACCTGGAAATGAGAGAAAAAAGACGGTGGTGTGCTTACTGAAGACAGAGGAAGGTTTGGTGGGAACTTGAGGACCCACAGCCCAGGATTTGGACCTGGACACCCACTGAAATGGACATGCTCCTGTCCCCCCATCAGTGCCACAGCACATCCCCTTCAGGGCTTGGAGGACACTCTCAGTGCAAACGCTGCCTCTGGTTTTACCACTGAGCAAAAAAGACATTTAACCCTCAGCTATAAAGATATTTATTCAACAGCATCATCCAAGGAAACTCCAGCCTCATCTAATACGCCCAGACCTGCTCCAGTAGGTTTCATGCAACACTGAGAACCACTGAAAAAAAAAAACCCTCTTACTTTGTAATTTATTACAAAAAGGTTTATAACTCCTTTCGTCTCTCCCCACGCAAAATGATCTTATTGAGGCAAACTCGCCAAGACCAAACGGTTCTGACTTCTTGCATTTCAGTAAAGATGCATCATCGGTTTGTCAGAGGTGAGTGCAGACCATCGCCCTGTTCTGGCAGAAAACAGCCAGAAGTGATTCAACAACGGAATATTTCCATCAGCATCACGACCAGGAACAGTAAAGCCACCGGCTTTGTCTCAAGACTCCCATTTTTGATGGAAGTTTTAATTGCCGCACAGAATTTTCAACGAAGACAAACACAGAATGGTTTTAGCCCCTTACGGATATAAACCGTGTTTCACTCTTGCTCATATTCACCATTTCAAAGCTAGATTGAGAAAACAAACCTATTATTTTTGGATTGGTTTCCTGTCCACTGGAATGAACCGAGATGCCAGCGCCCAGGACAGAGATAAAGGACTTTGTGAGCGGTCCCTGCTGCCAAACCCCAGCACCGTGGGGGCTGTTGGGCTGCACCCAGTAGCTCTGCTTTCCTTAGGGACTGCGTGTTCCCCCCAGTGAGGGATGCCCCCCCAGTTTGCTGAGCCCCCTTTGCATCAGTCACCAGGGGAGTATGTGCCCTGAGCCAGTGCCCGACTCCTCTCCTGGGACTGCTGCTGGGACTCCAAGCCTCTCTCCCATCCACGATATTATCCCAGAACGTCAATCAGAGTTACATCCCAGATCCTCATGCAAAATCCCTCCCTCTGCAAGAGGCACCTGCAAGCACCAAGCTCCTTTTGGGGGGATGCCCATGTGCAGCTCCCCAGGATCACCCCAGAGCCTGAGTTCCAAACCCCACCTTCTCCTCCACCCTTCTGCAACCTTCATCCCTTGAATTTTTCTTTTCTTTTACCATTGCAATGAATTTCAGCCCACTGCTGGTGCCCCACACATGGACCCAAAGCAGCAACAAAGGAGCTGCCACTCTTTTCTTTTACCATTGCCATGAATTTCAGCCCAGCTGCTGGTGCCCCACACGTGGACCCAAAGCAGCAACAAAGGAGCTGCCACAGTTTGGCATTTAGTGGTTGACTTTCACGCGGAGAACAGAGATGGTGAATTATTCAACAGGGCCAATGAGACTCTGGGAATGTCAAAACTTGGCCAAGCTTCTCCCTGGTATAAAATGTCAGGAACAGGAGTTCAAGGCAGAAAGGAGCTCCAGAGCACGAGGGGATTTTCCTCGTGGCACCTCAGATGCCTTTATTGCCCCCATGCAATGCTTCTCATGACACGGGCCCTTGCCCAAGCATCCTTCCATGTCTTGTTTCTAAGATGCTGCCCCAGACAGTTCCCTCTAAGCAGAGGGGGTGGATAAGGGATTTTTTTTTTTTTCTTAACTAGACAAAGCATTACTTTTGCTACTGCTGTCATGAGCATATTTTGGCCAATTTCCCCCTCTGAAGAGGGAGAAACCACCCCAGACCACCACCCCGGCACGCTGTGTTTTACAGGGATGCCCTGGAGCCACTGATTACAGCCCATCATTACCATGTAACTAAAAGAGAAACTGTAAACCTTCTCAAGCAGAAATTCAGAGCTACGAGTGTAAAAGCGGCGAAGTTCCTCATTTTACTGCAATCTAACAAAATTACTTTTGCTACTGCTGTCATGAGCATATTTTGGCCAATTTCCCCCTCTGAAGAGGGAGAAACCACCCCAGACCACCACCCCGGCACGCTGTGTTTTACAGGGATGCCCTGGAGCCACTGATTACAGCCCATCATTACCATGTAACTAAAAGAGAAACTGTAAACCTTCTCAAGCAGAAATTCAGAGCTACGAATGTAAAAGCAAAGAAGTTCCTCATTTTACTGCAATCTAACAAAAAAAGGCAGCGTGGGGAGAGGTTGGTGGCTTTTGGCAAAGGTGCTTCTGGCACGTGTTGTCCTGCCAGGGAGCTGCAAGCTCCCAGTGCCAGCCGGCCAGATTCCAACCTCCAGTTGGGGCAGGCGTTAAATCAAGCCTGGCTCTCCCAGTCCCTCTCACACCCCTGCCCCCGGCCTGTCTCTCGTTTGCTCTGGCTTTTGAGAAGCATCAAGCAAAGCCGTGGCTTCTGGTAAAGTCATGCTTCAATGAGCAAATCTGCTCTGGAGAAGCCCGAAGAGGCTGAGCTCCCCCTTGGAAGGAGAAGGCAGCCAGCTCCACGGGAACCACCTCCCTCCCAGCGCTCTAAAGCGCACGCTGTCATTTCCATCTGCGTTTTTAAATGAGCTTGGCTTTGCCTTTAGAAATGACCTGGGCAGCGACAGGAGAAAGAAGGTTAAAACATAACCAGGAGTCAAAGAAATCAGATCTTCCACCCGAAATTGTCAGCCACTTAAAAGACCACTCGGGGCATGTTATTAAATCCCTCTGTGCAGCAGTCTCCTGTCTCTAAAATTCTCCCCAGTTTGGGAGAGGACTGAGTTCATTAGCATCCCTGAAAGGCTCTGGGGCTCGTCACGGCAGAGCATCGCTGCCGGCGAGCGGTACCCGCACACGCCCAGCCCAAGGTGGGTGCAGAGGCTGGGGAGCCCCCCCAGGCACCCCCTCCACGGGGCTTAAAATAGTCCCAGGGAAGTCCTAGACTGATTGAATGAGTCTCTTCTGCGGTCTATTATTAGACTTCTGAAGTACAAAAAAATCAGTTTATGAATCAGACAGTTATACCGCAGGGTTTGACTTCCAGGGAAATTTAAGAGAAAAGCGCACTGTTCTCGACGCCAACGACTTCTGCTTTGTTCTTTTATGAAAAAAGCCCCAAGCACCGAACATCCTGGCACATCAAAGCCCAGGGACCCGGTTCCAGCGAGGAGCCAGCAGGCGGGGACACGCTTCCCTTCCGCTCCGGCTCCCAAATCCACGCTCAGCTAATGCAAGCGAAGCGACCCACTTTGAGGGGATCAGGTACAAAGAGCCTCCACGAAGCTTGGCATCCCCAAAAACGAGACTGACCCGATATCAGGGAGTATTTTTTTCCAACAACAACTCCCGTTAAGGCAGTAGCCAAGAGCAAGAAAAGCCAAGAGCAACCCCAGCTCCTCTCACCGCTCCGGTGCCTGCCAGTCCCCAGCCAGGGAAGTGCTTAAACACGCGTTTAAGGATAAGTAATCCTCTCCATTTCAACAGGATTAAACAACATTCTTAAAAGTAAGTCAATCCTGAAGTGTTTGCTAAACTGTGTCTCATTTTCCCTGTAAAGCAGCTTCTTTTTTGTAGAGGAACCCAGGAGTATTTCCTGCCGCCCCCAGCTATCATTTTCCATCAGGGCAGGCAGGACCCGAGATGTCCCACACCCAAGCAGCAGTTGGCACGAGGGGTCCCTGACCTCAGCTGGGACTTTTTGGTGCTTCTGCAACACAAGGAAGGATATATTAATGCAACTAATACAGACAGGACGTGGGGCTTTTTAGTCTGGAGAAGAGAAGACTGAGGGGGGATCTGATCAACACCTATAAATACTTAAAGGGTGGGTGTCAGGAGGATGGGGCCAGGCTTTTTTCAGTGGTGCCCAGGGACAGGACAAGAGGAAATGGGCACAAACTTGTATATAAGAAGTTGCACTTAAACATGAGGAGGAACTTCTTCACTTTGAGGGTGGCAGAGCCCTGGCAGAGGCTGCCCAGGGAGGTGGTGGAGTCTCCTTCTCTGGAGACATTCAAACCCCACCTGGACATGTTCCTGTGGGACCTGCTCTGGGTGGCCCTGCTCTGGCAGGGGGTTGGACTAGATGATCTCCAGAGGTCCCTTCCAACCCCATGTGATTCTGTGAATCACAGTTTGCTGGTTATTTATACCTCCCCTTTCTGTTACAGCAGCCTGGAAATGCAGGCGCTTTGTTTCCCGAGGCAGATGGTACAACCAAAAAAGATTTCTTGCTGTGGGGTATCAATTCCCTTCAGGTTTATGCTGATTATTTCATAAGGTTAGACTTTTGGGTGTCTCCTCTTGAAACTAACCCTCTGCTCAGCACTGGGAACTGGCAGAACTGCTGCATCCTGGATGTGCTCCTGGAGCAACAGCTTCTGAATGTGCTTCAACCACACTTTTCAAGGCTAAAACAACCAAAACCACATCCCACCCGAGTGCTGTGGGACCAACACTGGCTGGGGTAGCACCGGGGGCTCTCCCGGTCCCATCCCATGGCAGTGACATCCCAGGGGACATCACCCTGCACAGCACTGGCAGGGGAGAGGGACAGCAAAGTCATTTGAACATGCTGTGTGAGAAAACTATACTTTTATCTATGCATTTGCCTTCTGGCAGAAGGAGGGCTGTGGGCTTAAACAACAGGGGCTTATGCAGATTTATCTTTATTTCTTCACCTGTTTCTCAATGCAATTTCCTCCAAGAAAACAGCATTCAGCATGCAAACACCACCATAAAAGCTATATAATGTCCCGCTGACATTAAGATGCCAGAAATAGAGCTATAAAGATGTGACATATGGACAGACCTTCTCCACAGTCGCCCTGCAAAGGGCTAGTAGGAAATTCCTGGTGGTTTCACTGCGAAAGGTGAGGGATGCCCTTCGCATTCCTGACATTCCAGTTTGCCTTGTATTTTTAGACAGGAGCTAAATCCAAGCACCCAGCTGCTCGTTCACCCA